TACAGCCCCCCACAAATATACTATTAACCCCCCCATCTAAATATCAAAAACATAGATATAAACAAATATATTGATAATATAAAATAATTATAATTAATAAAACATTTTATAATATTCTTATAAAAATGGGTAAAAAAAAACCCAGCGAGGGACAGTGAGGGAGACAGTGTTTGGGCAACTAAGCGTAAGAGAAGGATTGTGAGTGAGGAATCGATTTAGATAATAGAAAGAGAGAGAGAGAGAGAGAGAGAGAGAAATCTAGCGAAGGAAATACAACCAAGCGAGGGACTACCACTAAGCATAGGAGAAGGATTATATTGCTTCTCTGAAGAAAACATCCAGGGTTGTTTGGTTTTTCCTACTTTGGAACATTTTCTTGAAGTAGGCAACGCAAGTATCATTAAACAGACAGCATGACGCACAGAGACCGTCTGAGGCTTAAAGGAGGATCTCTCCTAGCCTCTCCATATGTCAGCCTTGACAACCTCAAGGCCCATAGATGTGCGGAGACCTAGTACCTTCTCGACAACTTACCGCATTCTCAAAAATATAAGTTAAGATGTTTATTAACATTTAATCATTTTAATAGTTATGCTCAATTAAAAGTCTTAACTGGAGTTCATGGGCGTGGGTTTTCATCAGGTATTTGCTGCCTCTCTGTATACTGTAAACCCCGCAAACTGTTGGAGATTTCAAGTTGTTTGTGGTTTTTCTATTTTGTATAGTTGACCTTGGGAATCTGTGATATCTTTTTATAAGACCTTTTAAGGCGGTGCATTCTCTAGGACAAAGGTCCTGTTGTGACTGCTTTATAGTGGTCCTTGTACCAGTAGTAGGATAGTCTGTTGTAGACTAAGGTTAAGGCTGGTACTCAATTGTGGAACTGTTTTTATTTATATTATAGTTTTTTAAAAGGCCGTTTATACAGTATATAATTATTTAAAATCTCCTGCTTTAGGCAGTCGGTTGGTAACTTGATCTATAAATGTCTTATGGTGTCTGACATTTGTTGCATCCTGAGGGAGGGATAATTCTCCTGAGTGAACAAGAATCTGTCTTGACATTAAGCCTTAAGGTGCGAGGTGTCAGTGTGAAACAGTGTGTTCACATGCAGGAAAAATGTCTTTAGAAACAAATGAGAAAGCGCATCGGTTTAAATAAGGCAACATGGTCCATTTACAAACTGTATAATGAGTTCTCAGGTAAAGAAAACAAAAGAAAAAATGCATCCAATTATGATTTCTGATTTTTGTTGTTGTTGTTGTTGTGAATTACTGATACAGATTTTTGCTGATTCACATTTTTTTCTAATGACAGTATATTCAAAGAGTGCTCTTTGGTACAAAAAAGTATAATTATTGATTATGAAAGATTACTCACAAACTTGTCTGTAGTTCTCTGCTGTCTGTACCATGTTTGTCAGGCTCACCTGGTCTCTGTGCTCAGCTGTTCATCAGACTCACTCATTACACCTAGTGCCCCAGGTTTTTAGTCCTTCTCTCTCACCTTATGGCTATCACACAAGAGTAGAATAAAGACATCCAAGATAACAAGGGATCATGGCATGAACTATTATGCTCCGCCAGGATGAGAAAAAAGGTCAATACCAGCGCTATAAGTAAGTTGTGTAAAGCATCAGCTCCTATTATGATTGCCACAACATAAAGAAAAAGAGAAAACAACAGTTGGCTGGCCTGATCAACTCTACCAATCCCTACGGGTCTTGTTGCTTGGATATATATATATATATATATATATATATATATAAAATGGTATAATAATAAACTAATAAATAATAATAATAATAATAATAATAATAATAATAATAATAAACCTTTAGACAATCTCTCTTATTTCCATCAGTCATTGTAAGACTGGTAACAATGCATCACTGGCTAATCATCTCTCTGTAAGACTGGAAAATATATTCCACACAGTAAAAGTCAACAGGGCTTTTATTTTTGAAACAAATGAAGCTGCTGTTTTTGAAGAAGCTGACAGTTTCTTTGTAAAGGGAGAAACTAGGGACGGTGCAGATCAACAGATTGAAAGCACAGAAATGTAACAGAGTTGGACCGGTTGCAGCAGGATTTTATTTTGACATTTGGAAAATGTCAGATTATACTTTAGGGTGTATGTAAAAGTCTACCGGTGTAGGTAGCAGGTGTAGCTCTGAGGCACTGTGGTCAAAAGAGTTTAGATGTCTGTGTATATATTCAGGATTTTTCTATATATAGTCAGACTTTCTGTATATATATGTTCAGACTTTTTGTATATATATTCAAAGATTAATTTCATGAACGGCATGCCATAATATATATATATATGTATATACATATACATATATATATACAGTACATAAGGGGTGTAACTGTATACACAATTTATGGTTCGGTACGTACCTTGGTATGGGGACCTTTTTTTCATTAATTATAAAAGTAAAAAATAGAACAAAACATAAAAAATGCATTAGGTGGGTTCTCATACCATTCATTCATTTTGTTCATAGAAAAACGCCAGGCTCCTCTACTATGGCATATGGGCTCATAGATGTAGATATGTAAATGCCAACCCCTTCGGGTTTTTTTTTTTTCGGTGGGAATAATTTGCAGCACACTCACACTGCAGTGACATATATATGCTCTTTTCCCCCAGCCACGACACTCACTCAGTTTACCTTAGAAAACATGCCCCAAATAGTACATGTAAAGAAATATAATGATCTTCTACTTCATTATCATTAAATTACATTTTACTTACTAAGTAAACATGACCTGCATATACAGGAATTAAAGAAAGACACAAGAATATCTTCCTCAGTAGGTGTTGAATTGACATGTTGTGTTTTTATTTAGCAGATAAATACAGATGGATCATGTCATGTTTTATTAATGTAATATTGAAATAATATAGTTTTCTAAACATAAAAATAATACAATACTTTAGGCATTATATGCACCAATTATAGTCATGGAGCCATGGGGAGGAGATGAGGAAAATCACAGCTTTACAAAGAAGCTTGAAGGTAATTGCACTGTGTAGGGATTTGGCATTTTTGACCAACTCCCTTACATACGTCACTAGTCCAGTAGTTCCTCTTGATGAATAAGATAGATGGATAGATGGATAGATGGATAGATGGATAGATAGATAGATAGATAGATAGATAGATAGATAGATAGATAGATAGATAGATAGATAGATAGATAGATGTATAGATAGATAGATAGATAGATAGATAGATAGATAGATAGATAGATAGATAGATAGATAGATAGATAGATAGATAGATGCAGGGTGTATATGTAGATAGATGGATGGTAGAAAGATTAATAGATAGATAGATAGATAGACAGATAGATAGATAGATAGATGTATAGATAGATAGATAGACAGATAGATAGATAGATAGATAAATAGATAGATAGATAGATAGATGTATAGATAGATAGATAGATAGACAGATAGATAGATAGATAAATAGATAGATAGATAGATAGGAATACATGACAAGTACTCTGTAGGTCTTATTTGAGGAGTCTGATGATGGCAGATTGTTAGTGAATTCTTTGAAAACTATAATGAAGCTCCATGTCACAGGCAGTGACATACAGTATGTGCAGGCTAATTATCCATCTGAGTCCATACCTCTCCTATAACAAACGTTCTTTCTTATTTTCTTTTCTTATTATATTTCACCTGGAGACCAGAGAACAACAGATTGTTCTGTCTGGATGTTATTCACAGTTGATGTTATTGTGAATGGGGTTAATGGTAAATCTTTTAAATGCAGCTGCTTGCTTCGGTTTATATGCGAAAACTCATTTCACATAGTTGAAAAGTCCTGCAACTGGACGTGAATTTTCTAAAAGAAGAAATTTCACCTCTGATCCAAGAGGCTTCTTCAGTTCTAACTGGTGGTGAGTAGAGCAAATATATACTCTAGTTACTTTTGGTCCACCCTGTTGGGTGGGGACCTGGGGTCAACTGTGAAAGTGTAAACAGTCGTTAAGAGTCTGATGGGTCGTTGTGGTCCTCATCAGAACGGTTTTGGTCACCTGCCTCTTTGTTATGTGAAAATGAGGTGAATCTCTTGTCCCTAAGAGTGCTTTGTATGTGGGTTGTGTTTGAGTCCACCTCCTCTGTTGAGTGATGGTTTTTCCAGGTTGACAAAAATGGCTTCTTTTACCCTTCTCTCAAACCATCTGTCTTCCATGGCCAAAATGTGTACGTTGTTGTCCTCAAAGGAGTGGGTTTTGTCCTTGAGGTGTATGTGAACAGCCTTGTGTAGCGGTTGTTTAGACTCCCCAATGTACAGGTCCATACACTCCTCACTGCAAATGGCATAAACCACATTGTCCAGCTTGTCCAAGAAACAAGTTAGAACTGAAGAAGCCTCTTGGATGAGAGGTGAAACATCTTCTTTTAGAAAATTCACATCCGGTTGCCTAACCGAACATTTCGACCTTGACCATTATCTGCATGACTGAAAATCTTCATAGACTAATTTTACATAATACAATGCTAATGTTCATCTTCCTTAAAGTTGTCCAACTTCAGCCGGGATTATTGATACTTCAACATATTTAAACTCTTACAAGACATGTCATTGTTCAAGTGTTCTGTCTGTCCGTGGCTCCAAAATGTTGGTGATGGTGTGAAAATAAATGGTGAAGGAATCTCCGTATCGTTCATGTATATAAACCTCTCTTGCCAAACGCAGTAAGGCACCATCATCCTATCTTCCCAAGACCTTGGGGTCTCTGACTTCCAAGAGCTTTACAAAAACATCAAGTCCAACACAAAAAAGGACATAAAGAAGAAATACACAGCTAATAAAATAATTTGGTTATTATTTCGGTTGAGGGGCCACCTACAGCCTGATTACATGTCAAGTGGGTTGGACAAAACATAATAACCTATAAATAACAGTATCCATGTTTTTGTCCTTTATTTTCATGCAAATAAGTTGAATATTCATATTTAATTAAATATAATTTGGCAAAACATTTTAATTTGACAAACACTTTATATTCGTGCACTTTCAACAATCATCAAGCAGGCCAGAATGAATGAATGCCCCAGTGGGCCTGTTTTGGACTGCAGGCCTTATATTTGACATCCCCTGACGTAGAGGGATCAGAAACCGAACAAACCCAACCCAAGCAGAGAACTTGAAGCACTACATGTTTAAGTTGAACATGGATATTCAGACACTACACAAAAAAAGAAAAAAAATCCAGCCTATCAAATTGTGCATTCATCAGTTTCAACCTAACTCTGTACAATCTTGTCCTGTGTGTTTCATAGCTCTGCTTCAGATCAACAATGGAGTTACTGGATGGAATGATGGGGCAGGAAATGGAGTTTGAGGGCTCTGCCACAGCTGCAGCACATAAAAAAAACATCAGCACTGACATTGTCACCAACGTCACCAACGTTACATTTTCTCCCTACTATCAGCACTCTCTGTACGTGGCCGCAAGTTACATCTTGGCTTATTTCTTCATCTTCCTGCTGTGTATGGTTGGGAACATCCTGGTTTGTTTGATTGTACTGGAAAACCATCGTATGCGCACAGTCACAAACCTCTTCATCCTAAACCTGGCCATTAGTGACCTCCTGGTGGGCATCTTCTGCATCCCTACCACACTGGTGGACAACCTCATCACAGGTGAGGCTGTGCTGTTGGTTGAATTTTTTTTTAACCCAGGAAGAGTCTGTTTGCCATCATTGTGCAGGTATGCTGAAAACTGGACCATGAAAGCTTATTTGAAGGTCTGATGTTTGCTCTTACCCTTATTGCTGCCCAAGAAAATGACTTAATAGTCATTTTCTTGCATTATCATCAATCTATCTACAAAAGTGAGTGCCTTAAAAAAAATGTTTTTCTTGTCTACAGGCTGGTCCTTTTCTAACACTGTCTGCAAGATGAGTGGATTTGTTCAAGGCGTGTCTGTGTCTGCCTCGGTCTTCACCTTGGTGGCCATTGCTGTGGAACGGTGAGTACACACAAGCCTTTAATATTTATTCACAGGCGTCAGAGAGCTGCTTTCCATATATGTCCGTGTACTCCAGGAGTACATGAACATCTGGGAGAAGCTGGGTGTTTACATTGACTGGATTTGTGAAAATACTAAATATGCGTTGAAGAGCCTTCAGTGAATCCCTACAAGAATACTGTTATTGTTCTGCTGGGTTTTACATGGTAGTCCTCTGAATTTACACACAAGATGTAGCAACATGAGTAAATAGACAGTGCCATAGTCTCGAAAAAACAAATGTAATTTCTTATAAAAAAATATTAATTAATAATAATAGTTAATTTTCTTAGATATATGTTATTATTTTGTAGAAAATATATGTTCCTTCTTTAAAAAAAAGAAAAGTTTATTTTCTAGTCCTAGACCTCATTTTTAAAGGTCTCTCATGTTTCTCAATCCCAGTGATTCCAAATCTCTGTGCCATGGTATTGTTAAGCCTGTCATTATAAAGTTTCACTTAATTTCATAAAAATATTCTTTTTTACTACTAATAATTTGTCTTTGTTCAATGTAGTGCAAAACTAACTCACTAGGTGGCTGCAGACAATTCTAAAAAAAAGGAAAAAGAGAGAGTCTCAAAGCTGTTGGAGAAGATCTTCGAGTGTATCTTCCTTCTATTCTTATGAGTAACGCAGTATTCTGTTCAATTAAACGGGCCTGTAGGTTTCCGATTAATTACGTAAATTAAAACTGGAAAATAATTTCATTACATTTACTTTCCAGGAGATTTTTGTTTAGTGATGTGCCATAACATACAGTATGTGACTTGGGAAACCTTACTCTATACTGTATGTGGAATTTCCTGTAGCCAACATCAGTATGTGTCAACACATTTAGCACTGAATATGAGTTGTAACCTCAGACAAACCTTTTTTCAGAAACAGAATATTTTGAATATTAGCTATAAAAGTTAAATATATAGCTATAAAAATTGGTTTAATGTTTTTTTTTTGTTTTTGTTTTTTTTGTTTTTTTGGTGTTTATACATCAGATTTCGCAGCATCATGTATCCTCTGCAACCCAAAGCAACTGTACTCGTGGCCAAACTAGCCATCTTCTTTATCTGGGTGTTAGCAGTAGCGATGATGTGTCCTGCTGTTATGGCTCTCACTGTGAAAAAATTTCCTTCCCATTACATTGTCTACGATGATGACTTCAACCACACGCTCCCTGTTTACATGTGCTACGAGAACTTTGACAAGCCCCAGATGAGAAAGATCTACACTGCAGTTCTGTTCGCTCACATCTACCTGGTGCCACTGACCCTCATCACTGTCATGTACGGATGCATTGGCATCAAACTGTGTACTTCTGTGGTGCCAAACAGAGAGCCGCAGTTGGATAACGCCACTGTGGCGGTGGGTAGAAGAGCCCCTCAGCCAATGATATCGCAGAAGAAGATCAAGGCCATAAAAATGCTCACTCTGGTGGCTCTGCTTTTCATGTTGTCCTGGTTGCCCCTCTGGACATTAATGATGATAACTGACTACGCAGGCTGGGACATGGACCAGCTTGATCTTCTGACCAGTTACATGTTTCCCTTTGCTCACTGGCTGGCTTTCTCCAACTCAAGCATCAACCCCATTATTTATGGCTACTACAATGAAAACTTCAGGCGAGGCTTCAAGGCAGTGTGCAAGTCCCAGCAATTGTGTTGCAGCTTAGGAGAGACAACTGTGCATCACCACCCTTTTGTTGTAAGGCTGACCAATCGTGTTCATAATGACAACGAGCTCAAAGACACGGCTAATAACAACAGAAGTGCACCAGTGGGCAACCCCATGGTCCTCACACAGAGATGTCCTTCAAACCAAGTCATGGAAATGGCATCATTGCCCAAGAATAGCTCTGCAGAATCAGAGAGGGTCGGCTCACTGGCTGTGTCGGTGCATCAGGCGTGGGAAAACTGAAACTCCACTTCTAGTTCAAGAGAATTTGGTAGAACCATAGTGTTGTACTTTATACCAGGTAATCTATAGTGCACTTAAATGAGATGTTTTTGCATAGACCATTTTCAGAACAAAAAGCCACATGCAACAATTTGACACTGTTTCACAGGGTGGGGTTGACATTTAGTTCGTACTAAAAGACAACAAGAGTTATTTTAGACAGAATCAAATGTAATAAATTTGATGGGCATACGGTGAAAGAGAGCTAACAGAAATGCTAATTTATTTTTTGTTGTTAAATATTCAAATAAAGAACAACAACATTCTACTGGTTGATCTCCTACCTAACCCAACCCACTTGTTCAGGTTTACTCTATTGAAAGTCTATAAGAAGTAATGCACACCCAAATGTAAACATGTTGTATTTCAAGCAAAAGAACAGTGTTTACAGTGGCAGAGTGATTAGTTGTTGTTTTTTTTTTCATTTGTTGTTTCTTTATTGTTTAATGTGATTCTCAACGTGATCATTCAACACCTGTGTTTGAGAAATGGCGATTAATGTCCGTGTGGATTTGATTCCCACAGGAACCACATGCTTGATTGTTAATCCTCCTTTGTAAGTCGCTTCGAATAAAAGCGTCTGCTAAATGCATACATGTAAATAAAACGGTGGCATCGAAACACGAGTATTGTGTAATTGGAACATTCCTTTTTAAGTATTTTGTTAACAGTCTTGTGTAATCAGTGTGTTGATGTTAAACATTGATTTTCTAAACTGAAAGCCTGCTGCTTGTTTGTGCGTGTGTTTTTTCTTATTTGAACCTACTGTACATAGAATATATGTTTGTACTTGAAGCAGTTTGGTAAAAGTCTTTGCTAATCCTGCTGTGGGCACTGATCTCTACAGAACCCACATACTCAGGTATGCTCCTACTGAATGAATCGTTAGTGATTTTTACTTCTATAACAGTGTGGACTATTATATGTATTTGCCTTGACTCCCTCTCTACTGTGGCGAGGCCAGGTTGTCAGGCTTGGTTCCCATTTTTCCATATCTATAAGTGTGGATCCTCTGGTTGTGACTTTTCTCTCATTTCCTTGCTGGAGCCTCCCACCATCTGCAGCCAAATCATGGGATTATAAATGTGCCTGGATGGGCAGTCATGTGTAAATGGCATTGTGAGTGAACTTGTTTCCAGTCATTAAAGATAACCAGTAGGCACCAAACGTAGCCTGTTTCTGTGAGCTTTTCAATGAGAAAAGAAGAAAAGAAAAGAAAATTATCAATTATCAATAAGCAACCCTTACAGCAGACATCATTCATGACACGTCTCCACCCACTGAACCACTTTCCAATTTATATTTCACATTTTGCACTGATCAAAGAAGAAAAAAAAACAGCTACAGAATTTTAGAAACCCCCCAAACCCCCCTCCCAAAAAACAAAAATCTTATTGTTCAGATGTTTAAAAGATTAAGAACTCTTTTACATTGGGACAGAAATGTCATTTAACAGGCACAGTGTAAAAACAATAATATCTCAGAGGAGGAAGAATCACATTATCAACAACAGAAGCCTTGATGATGTCACACACCAGCAGCAAATCCATGGCAACAATTCCATCAATGGACATCTTGTGCCTGCAGCACTGTCACATAATCTAAAGAAACATTTGTTCAATACATTGATATCTAGATATTTAAATCTTTATCAAACGTTACAGGGAAACAGTGTTAAAGGGTACCCAGTTCTAATTAGTGATGCACAAGTTTGACAGGCAGAAATACTAGCTGTTCTTGTATAGTTATGTAAATATAAACATATAACAGGATGAACAAAGAGTTAATATTAGGGCCAGACTGAGGATACAAAAAAAGTCCAGAAGATGGGCCACTCTAGGAAAAAAAATGTTTTCAAGAACAAAGTTATGTTAGTGAGAATGACGTTGTAAGTTTAAGAGATTAAAGTCATACGTTTAGGTAATGTACTGTATTTTGGGAGAAGTGAAAAGCACACAGTGTTAACCATAAACTCGTGATGTTACGAATTTGTTTCTTATAAGCTTACGTTTTTATTCTATTAATTTTAGATGTTTAGACGTTTTACTCAATAATAATTAATTGTGATTTACACTGATTTTATTTTGCCTTTCCTTGCTTTATTTTTGTCATTTTGAAATAAATAAAATGTACCGTGGTTTAATTTTTTTTTTTTCCGTTTGCACAGATGATACCACAGAAAGCACAACCAATGTATCAACCAGCTAAATATAAACAGAAGATTCCGTTTCCACAGGTGTATTTAAGTCTATTGTGAATATTTGTGTGTTCTATTGACATGACATTGACATGTCTCAAAGCTGGCAAAGTGTTGTACCTGGTGAACTTTTTACTGTGACCCGTTTGTGTATATATATACTGTTACTTCAGTGACGGATCAGTGCTAATGTCTCAGGAGAGAAAAGCTCACCTGTTTTGCTGTGCACTGCATCGATCGATGGATTAGCTCTATGTGTGACTGTTACTTTACTGTATTTGGTAGACTTTGACTCTATATTTGTCAATTAATTTAGTCTCAACATTGTTTTTTCTGTTGATTGACTTTACCTTGTAAAGTTCTTCTTAGTGTAGTCCGCAGAAAGTGAATAAGAAAATCAGGCTGTAGATCTCAACATTTTCATAAAACTACAATCACCAAAGCAGTCATTTGGTTCAATTCAACAAATTCTAATTTAATTATGTTTCTGCTGATCAAATTTTGAATTAAATTATATGACATTTGTTTACTATTTTCATTAATACTTTAGACATTTAAACAATAATTTTATGGCACGAGGATAAAAAATAATGGGATTGGTGCCTAGTGCAGTACCACCTAAGGCCAGTAGTGACAAATTGATTTGGTGATTTCCAAGACACCTGCTGTTTCTGACATCCCTCTTATTCCCTATTGCCTATATAAAGGATTATACAGAACGCGCTATATAGTGGACTCATGGGTTAGTATCAGTATCAGACACTACTTTGACGCGCTGTTAATAATTCAGGTGTAGACAAATGAAATTAAAAAAGCAGCCCTCTTTGTTGTACTGCATTTTGTAGCGACGCACATGGTGATTGTTGTTTCATCATCGTTCACGTTGATCATAAATGTCAATTAATTGTTTCTCTGTTTTTTTGGATTGGTGACACAACACAAATGTATGGTCTGCTTTGTTTTGTATGCCTTTTTGCTTTTACCTTGTATGTTGTTACCCAATAAACATGCAATTCTGAGGCCTGGCTATTTGTGTTCAGTGTGGCTCATGGACAAAGCTGCTGAAGAGAATGTAAGGAATTGGATTCTTGCTTAAAAGAACTCACATTCCTCAGGAAATCGCAAGCGGTGTAGATGCTGAACACATGCATATAGGCTCCTGTGTTTCAGGTTCGAGTCCCCCAGCTGCCAAGTTACCACGAGGTGCTCTGAGCATGGCACTGTCCCCACACACTGCTCCCTGGTCCTTAAAGCTGCACACTGTTCACTTTGGTGATGGGTTAAAAGCAGAGGTCACATTTGGTTGTGTGCAGTGGTGGAGAATATTTCTCCATGAAGGCTAACCGTTTAACCTAATTCTTCCAGTTGCACTCCATGTAACTATTTTTGGATTAAATGACCTGGAAGACTTAGAACCTACACAGACATTAAACCCATTATTCAGGATTATGCGTTCCTTAACGTTTAAAATAAAAAGATCCCCCTTGATGTAAACTTATAATTTTTATTTACTTGTTGATTTCCACAAAATAAAAGTATCAGATGAAACTGTTATAACGACAATGTCTTCTCTAAACGTGAGTAAAGTACCATTTTTTACAGCCTAAGAGTCTCGCACAACTCCAAAGAGATGGTTTCTAAAAAGAAAACTAAAAAAGAGTGGCCTTAATTCTTCAGGCTTTGGATAACACTATGGATGCATAATATGTTTTATCAATATTAAAAGCACCATTATTAATCACAATTGATCAATATGTTGGGCAAATTTTTATACCACTTCTAATTTTATCCAACAGTATGTGCACAGCTCAAAATGAGAAATAAAAAATAAAATAAATCGTAAATAATAGGATAAATTTACCCAGGATGAGTTTTCTTAACATTTTTAGCTAAATGGTGAAATATATACAGTATATATGTATATTTATATATATTTTTCTATGATGTACTTGGGGTTTCCCCTAAAGCAAGTTCCAGACACATGCCAAATCTCACACATACCTTCTCTAACAGAGGTCACTCTGCATAATATCAAAACGTATATAAAAAAATAACTAGAACTGTCTGATATATTTAATAAAAATGCTCCTTGAATAAACTGAAACAAATCTCTTTCCTGCATACAGTATACATAAACAGCAGAGAGGCACTGGATGTACAAATACAGTATATGAACCCAACATAGAATCTTATATTTCAATTTTGAACTTAATTGAAACATTGATTGTAAAATTTAGAATATAAGTGCACTGTAATATATATCACAGTCTTTTTTTTGGACTTTCAAACTGTGAAAACAAGGTTTCTATTGCTTTATGTTAAAGATGACACATTATAACCCTTTTTGTTATACCCTCAGGATTAAACATCACAGCAATTTTTAAATCCTGTCAAAACAGCCCTGGTCCAAATGCTCTGATTCAGTGTTTTTATTGTCAGATTCTCAAATTCCCTATGGTACCCGAACACTCTTTGTTGCAGACATGTTATACATGTTATTTTAACACTATTTCTATTGAAAATATTCAAAACATAATAACCTCCTCCGTGGGTTTAGTAATCTTGTAGATTTTTCAACCCCATTAACACAGTAATATGCACCTGTTACCTACTGCGCATATGGGGCATTGATGTGCGGTCAGGGAAGGCAGTGCCTCACCTGCCATCATGATAAAAAAGTACATAAAATAAATAAATATTTTCCACTGATCTGTGTTAAAGATGGATTTTTAGTATGATTAATTTTTGACAATTTATTAAATAAAAATCGCCAATTTTTAAAATTTTGCAATCAAATACAGGGCAGAACTCCCGGGTGAGGCAGTGGCGAGCTGTGCCTCACTTCTAATGGCGCGATCCAATAGGGTCACATGACGCGTGCCTGTTTCTGTTCCTCAACTGATCGTCAATATGAATTTTACAGAAATATTTGTTCTACAGCATGACTCTCTACACTCTGTGTATGTCTTTGTCTTTAATGTATGTGTGAGAGAGTTGCTCCTGCTGATCGTACAAGAAAGTGCAGAGAAAGGTCAGGAGGGGAGGCAGGCAGTACTCTGCCTCACCTCAAGGGGTCGTACGTGAACTGACAGATGCTCTCCAACTGACTTCAACAGACAACTGAAAGTCTGCGCCAAGCTAGAGCCAGTAATAGGTCAAGAACAGAGTTTTTTACGCTCTGCCTGATCCGACTGACTGTGGATTGTATTTCAAGACTAAAACATTTCTCAAAACTGGACTTCCGGTGCAAACAGAAGGTGATAAGTGATGGAAGACCAACTTCGTCTTCTACTTCTTTTCTTTTCGGCTTGTCCGAAGTGATGGGTAAGCGATGAAAGACCAACGCCGAAGCTAAAAGGTTTGCTTCAAACTAGGGATGTTAGAATAAATCTAACATCTTCCTCTTTGTCTCCTACCTGGTAGCTCCATCTCTAACATTCTTCTACCAATGTATCCACTGTCCCTCCTCTGCACATGTCCAAACCATCTCAATCTGGCTTCTCTAG